CACACCAGCCAAATAAACAAAGCACTCTCCTACCCACTTCATCCGAGGCAGATAATCCAGATCCATCAACAGTATGCCGCATAAACCCCCTCATGAAAGACGTCTTCATCGTCGTAAAAACTGGCGCCACTGAAATCCGCAAGAAGCTCCCCGCGCTCCTTGAATCCACCCTCTCCTGCGTCCCCGACTCCAATTTCGCCATATTTTCTGACTATGAAGAAGACCTCTTCGGCCATCACATTCACGATGTCCTGGCATCCGTGCGCCCTTCAATAAAAGATCACCATCCCGACTTCTCCCTCTACCGCCGCATGCAGGAACTACACGGCGACCTCTCCGCCCTCAAACCCTCGGATCTCATTTCAGAAAAGAAGGCTGAACATAATGGGCATGGGGAGAATAAAGCCTGGGTTCTCGATAAGTGGAAATTCGGGCCGTTGATTCAGAAGGCATTGGATATGCGTCCCAACAAGAGGTGGTATGTGGTTATGGAGACGGATACCTACGTCTACTTCCCCAATCTGTTGTCTTGGATGTCCACGCTCGACGGCTCGAAACCCCTTTATTTAGGCAACCAAATGTCCATCACACCACAAATCTTCGCCCATGGCGGCGCCGCAATGGTAATCTCCAACCCCGCCATGAAAAAAGCCGCAGCAAGGAGGAAGAGGTATGAGGAGAGTTATGATGATTATACGGCGCATCATTGGGCCGGCGATGCTGTACTTGGTCATATTATGCAGGATGCAGGCGTCGAGTTGACGTGGAGTTGGCCGATTTTCCTCGAGCATGATTTCGGGGAATATGATTGGAATTTGACTAATTATGGGAAGAAGTTGTGGTGTTGGCCGGTGGGAACTTATCATCATATGGATGGGGGGGAGACGAAGAGGTTGTGGAAATTTGAAAGTGAGTGGGGAAGGGTGGTGAGTAACAACTATTGGACCATATGGTTATGGAGAAGGAGCTGACGAAGGTAGAATCCGAAAACCCGCACGATGCTGCACCGGGACGTCTTCACAGATTTCGCCGTCCCCCGGATCCTATCCAAAGACTTAGAAAGCCTATCGAGCCCCGGTCATTTTATCCACGGCGACTGGGATAATCTCTCCGAGCTGCTCGGCGGTCAGAAACCTGGCCCTATGAATCTCTCAGAATGTGGTAGTATGTGCGAAAGCACGCCAAACTGCGTTCAATATAGTTTGTTTGAAGGGAAATGCCATATCAATAAGTCGATGAGGCTAGGGCGTAAAGCAGAGCAGACTGGGGAGGATGGAAAGACGAGGAGCTCCGGGTGGATAAGGGAGAGGGTGGAGAAGTTTTTAGAAGGTATGGAGGAGTGTCCGGAGGAGGTGAATTGGATTAAGCCGGGAGCGAAGAAATGATGAGGACGATTCTAGGGGGAGGAAGAAGAAAAGCTAATGAGATTAAAAAGAGTAATTTTCATACGGCGTCTTGTCCCTAGAACCCCATACAGGCAGGATAAAAGATACTGAGCAAAACTCGGGTACTGTAATCGTTCTTTGGCTGCAAATGCCGCGAAAGACTACAATCTGGATTTACGCAACTTATGGTATATCTGATCGAGTTCGACACATTTATACGTTCGGATAAGCTTTGCCCAGGTGCGCCGCCTGGTGCACTAACCTAACGTTGCACGTGAGTTACTGGACGGACGGGATCATAAACGTTATTACCCACAGAAGTCGCGCCTCATTACTTCGTCACCTCTGCAACCTTTCCATCACAAACTCCCTTTTATCACTCTCAATCTAAACCCCTGAGAGATTATACCCGTCTTCCCTCAACCAATGTTAGCAGAACCGTCACGTAAGCGCTAAATCCAGCCGGGCTACGGTATCCCATCCCGAAATCCTCGACTTACTCCACTCGAAAAATATATTCAATTCAGCATCCCAGTCCGACGTATAGCCCAAATCCTTACTATCATCGACCACAAATCTAACGATCTAGCGTTCATCACCGCTGAGTGACGCAGGGGAGGCGTGTCGGGGTTAACTAAGTTAATCAAACTGTAACCAGGAGGTCGTTGGATCGAAACCAACCTCTACTATTCTCTATTTTGCTCATTTTTCGCCGTTTTCCTGGTCGATAGTTTACAGGATGGGTGCCATGTATGACTTCCTACTAGGAAATAGTATAGAGTTTGACTATACAGTTTCTGTAATAGTCTAGGGGGTTTGCTTTCGCCGAGTGGCGTACACAAAGCGTGTCGGGGTTTAATATTTCGAAGCTGAACTAGAATACCTGGAGGGCCTTAGATCCCAACCCAACCCAGCTCAGCTCTTTCTTTTTTGGAGTTTGGCAGTTTTCTGAGTTCAGTCCTCTTTTTCCCATTTCGTTGGCTTTTCTCTGCAGTTTCTTGGGATGAGTTTTCCTTTTCCTCTAAAATGGCTCTCCAAACCAGTACATATGTTCACGATCTGATACAGCCCTGGACGTGAGAGTCCGATACATGACCAGACGTCCGTCCCACAATCCGCACTTTTTGCCCATTCTATCTCAACCAACCGCACGCATAAAATGCTTCACATCCACCCCTTCCCACCTTCTCATTTCTTCCGCAAGCAAGTCCATCTCACCTTCCTCTGCTGAATGCATCTCAGCTTCCTTTTCCATTTCTGCAAACATGCCCAAAAGCACCGAATCCGCCATCCCTCTAACATTATAACAACCGACATAACTCAACAGCAGAATTATGCTCTATTACCGCTTCGAGGAACTTCTACAGCATCTTTTCCTTTGGATTCATTCTCAGTATACTTTTTGGAGCCCCGTTGAGACAGCATCTTGCCGCAGCGGAGGCTGACTTGGATCCCCCAGAAGCAGGCTTTGAAGAAGCAGGCTTTGAGGAAGCAGACTGAGAACTCTCTCAGGATTTGACATCGTTCTCATAAAGCTCGACAATCCTGGCGATTTTAAACAGCCACCTGCCCTCCAACACCTTGCCCCAACCAACTCTTGAATCGACTCCGGCGAACGATGCACTTATCTAAACCCGCCCTCTCCAACATTCAGCCCACATCGCGGCTCTCCCTCCTCACATACCTTCTTCCAACTCAAACTCAGCCCGACCCCGAGCGCGGCCCATTCCTCCGTGACATGACGTCATGCTCCAAGCCGCTTTCCCCAGTCGACGAACTCGACGAAGAAGTGCTCGACTACTTAGGCAAATACCAAGGACAACATCCAGCGCTGAATGGTAAATGGGGTGTCTATGATGTGTTAGGGGCGGTGTTCTATGCACTGGTTATATTCGCGGCGGTCCTCAACGTCGATATGATGCTCAGCAGATTGGGTTGGGGGAGGGTTGCGCAGTGGGATAGTAATGTGACTGGAATTCAGGGTCCCCGGCCACAAGTATGTTTTGGGACATCGTAAAGTGTGAATGGAGTTTCTAAATGCTGACTGTTCTAGATAACCCTGTGCCTCGTCCGGCATTCCGGAGACGATTACAGTAATTCGCGGATATGGAAAGTGCAAAGCCCATCCGCCGATGTCACTTGCAATACTGTTCAACTCACCATCCCGGTTCCACAAGAGGGTAGTTTGAAGCTTTTCGTTGGAGATGAGATTGGGGTTGAGACGGTCGATGAAAAGCCGACCGAAACTGTGGAGGCTGATCGAGAAGTGAATGAAATTGGGAGCGATGTACGAGAGGGTGATGACCTAGCGGAAGAAGGCAAGCTGAGGCAGGATCAAGCGACCAGGTTTGGTGGTCACGGGAATATAATGCATGCTGGTTTTGGAGGAACGTGGCGGAGGTGGAGGGGGTCGTAGAATCGATATAGAACGGTTGGTGCGAGACAGGTCGTCATTGTTTGCTTTCAGAGTTCATGAAACAGTTTGATCGCCTGTATTCGGTATATGGAATAGTTCAGAGGGAATAGAGACTCCTGTAAATCGTTAATACTCGTGTATTTCTCATTTTTCTCAGAGTTTGGAGTTATGCATAGCACCTCATGACTTTCTTCAATATACATCTTTACTTGTGAGCAATTTGAGGTCAATATCCGGTAGTCAAAGGACTGGACTGTTCTTGTTGTTGATAATGTCGTTGTCCATGAGGTCTGATGGACTATAAATAGTATACACATGATTGAGTGTCAAGTCGGCTGTAGAGTACCCGACCATGTACAGTCTACGCTTACATTATTTTGGGTCAAAAATCCACTGGGTGATTGTACTTTCTGCGTTTTCAGTCTTATGTTCCTTTGGGAAACCGTTAGGTCAAAAAATTTATGAAGAGATTTCGACTTAAAGGGGACCCTTTTGGAAATTGGCGAACACACAGTTAGCCCTTATCAGGTGTCTGCAATGCAAACAGTGGATCTATGAACACGACTATATTATCAACCTCTGGACGGCAAACCCTCCAAAATATCCTGGCATTCTGCCCCAACCATATCCAATCCCGTGCAAATCTTATTTTAAAATAGAGGCACTACAGAGCTTCAGGAGATGCTGGAGGAGAAGAGAATGGCCAAAGCAGCTGCGCAATGGCTCCTAGAAACAAACATACTTGAATACTTCCAAGTTGCAAGGCTATTGCAAAAGAAAATACATGGGACTGGGCCCCCTTTCAACTAACCCAGGCCGTGTCATAATAACCTCTCTGTTGCCTGAGCGGCAGCACTGACAGATAGGGAACAACTATTAGCTGGTGAAAAGAAAAACTCATCATAGCTATATTGGAATGTTTGAGGGTAGGGAAAAGGCAAAGATTTTGAAATCTAGAGGGACATTCCTCTAGAGTCGGGTTTACTTTGCTCTAAGCATTTGATATTACGTGTTCATAGACTCGATTGGGAACCAGGTAGCACGTTAAATAGAATTATTATTATTATTATTATTACTATATTATCAATATACATGTATATCATTCAATTCTCTTTTCCACTAACGGGCTCCACCAAAGCCCCGCTTACTCCACCTCAACTTAGCAATATTATGAAAATTTATTAAATCTTTTTCATCCCGGCCGCGTGGCCTAATGGTAAGGCGTTACTTTCCGGTGGTAAAGACTCTCGGTTCGAGTCCGGGCGCGGTCGTTTCTTTTTTTGGCCTTTACAGACAGCCTGCTAATAATAGTATTCTTGTTAGAAATTTGAATGATATATATATATATATACTCAAGGGTCCGGTTCATATTCATGAATTCATAAATATTTTGATTACGGATTTAAATATCTTAAGGACCTTAGTAAAGCAATATATCCCAGGGAAAAGCACTGCTCGGGAATTGGCCACGTGACATTTTGACCACGTGCTCTCTCTACATATAATATTGCTGGTGCAGGGAAAAATTATATATATTCATGTTCAATTCACATTCAGGAATACCGAATGAATTATCCTTAAAAGATCATATCCTTAGAAGGCCCGCACATTTGCCGTCGCTCCATAATTCTGAGGAGGGAACTATGCTTGCCTTTGCTTGAACCATATCATCACTCATCTCCCCTCTCCTGCCATCTCATTCCACCTCCTCTAGCATCATTCACTATATCGGCGGGCTTTAACTTTTTCTAATACCCACATCCAATCTCAAGCACCAAAAGAGCAATCATCAAGAATCCAGAAAACAAACCGCATACCCCTTAGTTTCAGATGCTTCAGCCCACCATAATCATTCCACCAGTCCTTTTTGGAATCCACATGATCCGTTCGCCTTGCTCGTTATGAGACCAAGCTCAACTCCATGCCGTCTTTTCTTCAAATATGTGAAATATTCTATACCCATTTTTGGATACCGGTATTTTATCTCCCACCAACGTCCTCCAGATCAAGGCAAATTCGAATAGCTTCTAAACTGGAAGAGTTGGACCGGACATGTGGACCTGGCGTTACGATTTTGGAGAGTTACCACATCCACCGCGAGGGTTTTTGTGTGCACGGTTATGCTCGAGGAAGGGAGAGAAGGAGGCAGACATAGTGTCCATGCCCTCTTTATCCAAAAATTCTGAGCATACTAAGAGGAGTCTTTGAATAAGCACCGCAACATAAACATGAAATAACAAACGATGCATCTTTGGAAACAAACTTTTGAATTTTTGAAGATCCACTACAACCCAGATGAAAAGTGAAGAGCAAGAGTTCAGGAGGGTGGGGAAGGGGGATCATAAAGACATCCAAGCAAGAGAGACAGGGTCTGGGAAGAAAATTGACGGCCAGGAAAAGAAATTTCAGGGAGAAAGGGATAGGAAATGGAGTATGGCGTGGTGGATGGATGTGAGGAATTAAGATTGAGGGTGTGTTATTGGTGGTTTGGGAGGGGTGTGATATGTATGTTGCTTGACCGCGCGGAGCTTGGAGGTGGCAGAGTGTGATTCCGGGATTCCGGAGATTGCGATGGTGTGGCTATCCACTGGAGGTACGGAGTTGTATGACTACTACACACCTTCACGATCGCGGTATGTCAGAAATGAGTGATGGCAATAAGGTTATCCGTTGGTAGTCAGCAACCTCAGAACTGCTACACCTTTATGATCACGGCGTGTCAGCAAGAAAAGGCTGCGACGTCTGTTTGGTTCGTTGATTGTCAAAAACCGTATGACTATTGCTGTTTCCTTGTTCACTCCATGTCGGACATGAACAGACTCCGGTGCGTCATGATCCGTACATTAATTGGTGACCCGAGTAACCATGACCAACTCCAAACTCCTTATGTTTCCTCTGAACCGTGAGAATTTCACGATAAAACATGTGATATCAAACGAAGCGATCACGCCGGAACTGGAAACCTCCAATCCTCGACCCTGCACATTCCGGCAGAAGTTGTCGTCTGCCCTCTACCACATACACCCAACCACTACTGACCGCAAGAGAACCCCTCCTCCTCATTCTCCACACTCAAACTCTGCCGCGCAGCTCTCGCACTCTTCCTTTTCGTCCTCGTACTCCCTAGCACACCATCAGTAACACACTCCGTATAAATAACACATCATCGTCTCCTACTCCTATCCCCACTAGCCTGCTGCGCTGCCTGCAACGCCGCCTCATGTCCCAACTCGGCCCTCAACTCCTTCAATCTCTTATTCGTCTGCTCCTGTCTCTTAACTTCCTCCTCAAACTCTCTCTCCACAACTCCAATCTTCTCCCGAATGACCTGAATCAGGCCCTCCTCCTGCTCCTGACTAAATGGTACATCCACGCCCCCCTTAACCGGCAACTGTGCTGTCTGCTCTCCACCCGGAAACCCCCTCTTCGGTTTCCCATCCGGACCAATCCCGAGCATGGCGTTCTTCTTGCCACCTTTCAGGCGGTCTTGAAGATAGTCCCATTGGTTCTCGTTGGTCAGCGCGTCGAAAAGGCCTTCGGTGGGTTCGTTGAATTGCACGACTTCGAGATATTCGGACCGCACGCAGCCCTCGGCTTCTTGCCGCGCCTGCTGCTTCTCGTCGCCATATTTTTCGAGCTGCAGAAAGTGCTGCCGGTATTGTGCTTTCTCGCCGCTGAGGGGGGAGAAGTGGAGACGGATGTCGATGGTGAAGCCGCCCCAGCCGGTTTCGGTGACTTCAAAGGGGGGATTTTCGCATACTACAAGGAAGGGTTATCAGCGACTTGTCCAATGGGGAAGAGGGGGGTGGGAGCCGAACCTCGCAAAGGGTTTTCATAAGTATTAAAGATCTTAAACGACACCTTGGTCAACCATATGCTAAAATCCGGATCACCTTGTGGCTGTCGGACATAAACGGTCCAACGTTTAGTATGGTCATCGGGTATGCCCTTTGGGCGCGCGGGGTCGCCGGGCGGTGGGAGGGTGAAGGCTTCGGAGCCGATAACTGCGGCGGGAGTCAGGAGATTGAATGGACGGGAGAGGGGGTGACGAACATACTGATGTTGCGGGAAATGCGCTTGTTCTGTTGTTATCTGTTAGCAGGTTGCGAGGTTGGGGGAGAGGGGGGGGGAGGGGAGGGGGGTATCGTTGAAGGGACGTACCTTGACGCGTTTGTTGGATGCCGGAGCGGGCATCGTGATGGAGCGGTAGTGAGCGATGTGTGTGGTGTAGAAGTTGGATAGTTGATCAGAGCGAGGTAAATGGAGTCATCCAAATAGGCTGGAAGAAGGCAATTTCCAATGAATAGCAAGGTATTTACGTGGTGAGGTTTGATATGTGAAGTCCTTATGAAAGTCCGACTTCAAATAAAGTTCGGAGGTCTCACGTCGGTCCAGTTGAGGCTCTTGGACTTGGCGATCGATCTCCCCGCCCCTACTGTATCAGCCCTACGCTGATGTCAGGATTCACGGAGCTCAACACCAAACCTCACCATTATGTTTCACTGATACACAACCACCACACCTCATAATGGCTCAAGCAATGAAGAAGAAGCTGGTAGTATGCGGTGGAAATGGATTTCTAGGTATGAAAGCACCACTATACTCCCAATTCCTTGCTTTTTCAAGCTCCTAAAGTTAATCTATCTCACCCAGGAAGTCGCATCTGCAAAGCCGCTGTGCATCGCGGCTGGGACGTAACCTCAATAAGGTACCCTTCCCCTCCTCCTCCCTTCCCTCCCCTCTTCTTCCTTTCCCGCCATCCCAAACCCCCAGTTAAACACTCCGCAGCCGGTCCGGCACCCCTTCCTGGTCCAGCATAACCTCCTCCCCTACGCCCCCCCCCTGGGCCTCCTCTATAACCTGGGCTCGCGGCGACATCCTCGCCCCTTCAACCTACACCACACATCTCCGCAACGCCACCGCAGTCATCCACTCGATGGGCATCCTCCTAGAAGCAGACTATAAAGGCGTAGTTAGCGGCCGCGAGTCCCCGATCACCGGTCTCATGCGCGCGTTCAGCGCATCGAAAGCAGGGACGCAGAATCCATTGGATAGGAAGGAAGGAGAGCGCTTGAGGAGTATGGAGAGGGATGGGCAGCTAACTTATGAGGTTATGAATAGGGATTCTGGTAATTGTGCTTTTTTTTTTCTGGAGAGTGAAAGCATAATGATATGATATGGTATGCTGATATATTTGCTCAACAGCGATAAGTCTCGCTAAGGAATCTTCGAATGCAAAAGTCCCAACCTACCTATATATCTCAGCCGCCGCCGGCGGCCCCTTCCTCCCTACCCGTTACATAACCACAAAGCGCCAAGCCGAAGCGACAATCTCCTCCACATTCCCCTCCATGCGGTCGATCTTCATCCGAGCGCCCTTCATGTACGACACTTCGCGGGCTTTTACCATGCCTATCGCGGCGCTCGGCAACGTCGCATCAATGGTGAATGGCATGGTAGGAGGGAAATTGACGTGGTTGATGGGCGCGGGGGGCGTGAAGCCGTTGAAGGCTGATGTGGTGGCGGAGGCAGTTGTTGAGGCATTGGAAGATGGTGATGTTAAGGGCCCGGTGGAGGTAAGGGAGATTGAGACGTTGGCTACCAGGGCTTGGAGGAAGAATATGCTGTGAGTTAAGTAAGAGTGTGTAGAGGGCGATTGAAGTAGTGCAAGGTAGAGAAGATAAAAAGACGGGCGCAGGCACTGTGGCCGCAACAGTACAGGCTTTATAAATCGCTTGAATTATTCCGTGCTTATATGAATATAGGAATAGAGGAAATTTAGAAAGTTGGTACGGGCTTTAAGAAGTATGGCGTTTAAGACGTACGGAGTTGATAGTAATATTAGGGTCCGGAATGTTTTTGAACCATCTTGGATATATTATTCGGAAGAGCGTTAGGGAGAATGGTAGAAAGAGTGTTAGAAAAAGCGTTAGAAAGAGTGTAGGAATAGTGTGTACGAAAGTTTCTCAAGCTTGTGGAGAGGTTTGGGCGAGTATCAGCGCCAAGGAGAAGCAGGAGCGCTCGAGAGCAATCACGTGGCACAAGCTCGATAGAAACCAAGGAAAGTTTTCAGGAAAGACGTCTAAAATTTGATTCGTGAGAAGTTTGAATAAAAGAAAGGACAGTGTCAGGACGGCGCTGGGATAGCGTTATGGAATGCCGTTAGGCATCCTGCACGTTCTCAACTGCGTAACGGGATCCATTGGAATCTCGCCGTTCGTCCACTTTTCGGCCCATATGCTCTCAATAGGGTCTCTATTTTGTGCACCCA